TTCCATATATCATGTCCATATCAAATAATAATTCTTCTTTTTGATTTTTGAATTTGTTAGCCATTCGATTTTTTAAAATTTTTCTCAAGATTTGTGTCACATACTGTAAACCACTTAGTTTGCCTAATTCAGAGAGAAAAATCACAATGTATATCACCAAAATTACACACCTGTTGTAATCATATGTCCTAAAAGAAGCAATATTAGAACAAGTTCAAACGAAGGCATACTGGCTAAGATGAAAATGATGCCATACTAGTTTTTTTTTTGCACATAGGTTACGGAAAAAATGAAAGACTTTAAATGATGTAATGATAGTTTGTCATTTTTCTATAGGCTTATTTCTCATCTGATGACTAGTGACATCTACATTACTCTTACACTTGTTGTTTTTTTATTATATAAAATAGAAATAAATAAATGAATCTTTTTGAAAAACTATAAAAATATTCAAATATATAAATTTTTGCTCTAATATATTTTTCATTATTATAATTAATAAGTAAAACGAAGGTATCATTTCGACAATAATGGTTAACAAGGGTCAGTTATAATAATCTATCGTGCTCAAAAAATATGCACAAGCATGTTTAACAATTTATAAAACATCAAATCAATAAAAAAGAAATCTCTCTTTCTGTATATATATATATAAATGTATATGCTGTATAATTTTTTTTAGTATCATATCTTTTTCTTAGAAATAGATCTTAAATCTACTAAAAGTGTCTTCCTGTCGTAGAGTAAGTTCATTCTTAATCATAGAGGCTACTAAAAATAAATCAACCAAGCACGTCATTTTTTTTCTTATTGCTGTTCTCCTACTATACAATTTCTTTTTATTTATTTTGGGCATGGATTGTTCTCGCGCGGCATCTCACGTCTAAAACATATTGTGACTGTTTATTTACATTGCTTGTTACCGGTAACCTTCAATACATTTAGTAATAATCTAATTGCGCTCTCTTTTTTTGCGTTCTCATTTTGTCATTGTTAAATTAGCAAAAAAAAAAAAAAAAAGAAGAAAACCAATTGTTTTTTTATGTATTGAAATAATTACAGATCCATTGTTCCTTTTTTCTTCCGTTGCTCTGGTTGGCCATTGTCACCGTTCGACTTTTGATGGCGCAACCGAGTCGAGCTCGCGTTTATGCCGATTGCAATACGCATCGACCACGGTACGAAATATGTTTTCCTATAGAAATAATTTAATCAATATAGAAATATATTTATTTAGCGAATACTACGACTACGAGCTGCACGTTGTTGAGTGGGGGTAAGTTAAAACAAAATAAAGAGAAAAATATTCATATTTGTCTGATTTAATTTTAGTAATCAAGATGATTATCAGATCGTGCGTAAGCTCGGTCGTGGAAAATACAGTGAAGTATTCGAAGGTATCAATATAACAAATAATGAAAAAGTTGTTATTAAAATTCTTAAAGTAAAAGTTAAATTTAATTATTTTCTAAATAAATAAATAAATTTTTATTTGTAGCCAGTTAAAAAGAAAAAAATAAAACGTGAAATAAAAATTTTACAAAATTTACGTGGTGGTCCAAATGTTATTACACTACTTGATATTGTCAAAGATCCTGTTGTATGTTATTTTAATTTATTTAAATTTCGTTTTATTATATTTTTTTTGATTTTATTATAGTCGAGAACGCCTGCTCTGATATTTGAAAATGTCAATAATATTGATTTTAAAGTAAGAATTAAATAAGAAATGTTTTTTTTTGTCTCGTTCAAAAAAAAAAATCTTTTTTTTTTTTCATATTGATTTAGCAACTTTATCCTACACTTTCCGATTATGACATTCGATTTTATATGTACGAGTTACTTAAAGTATGTATATTGACTTTTTTTTTGTATATACATATTTAGCTTCAATTCTTTTAATATAAAACTATAATTATTTTCTTGAAGATATATATATATATCGTTTTGTTTTTTGTCTTTTAATTATTATTTATAGATACCTTATAAAAACTAGTGAAGAAATTATTGAAATTGTAGCTATTTACATAATATATATTTTTATATAAATATAAATTATGATAACAGAGAAAAATAAAAATTCATTTATTCAAAATTGATTATAGAAAGTTAAAAATTTCTTATACGACAATGTTACAATTTAGTTGAAATATTCTTGTCAATATTATTTATGAACAGAATATTCTGACATATAAAAGAATTATTCTTAGAATAAGAGATACTTTATGTCACATAGCTTATGTTTATCTGGTTTTTATTTTTATTGAAAAAAAAAGCTGTCAGTATAATTCTTATGGGATTAAAGTGTAAAACACGATGTAACTGCTCTTATTAATCATATGTCAATCTATTTTAGGAAATATTTTTCACTTTTCTTTTACTAAATCTTCTAGTAATGCAATAAGGAAGTAGTTTCATATATTATAATGAGGCATTATTGATATACGATCTGTGTGGGAAGGATCTAAATTCTCACCTATATTTCTACATTCTTTATAGATTATGTTTCATCAAAAAATATCACTGAGCAGCATGCAAGTTATTTTAGACTTGTTTTTTACTTGAAAAATCTTTCAAGATTATATTACATATATGCTCATAGGAATTAATTCGAACGCAACGAGCTGCTAGTTTTCGATTGATGAATACTCATCGATTTGTGTGTTTTTTCAGACAAATGAATCTTGCCATTGATTGCCACTTCTCATATTTGTACCTCTATGAACAGCATGGTTACAGTCACGATGGTAGACTTTAACATCGAAAAAGTTTTGTTCACTTGTGAGTGTTGTCATTAATAATGTTGCATAAATTTGAAAAAGAAGTTTGATATTCAAAATGAAGATATCACTACATCGAACTAGAACTATGTATCTCTTTAAATGTCATAAAAATACTTAGAGTATAGCATATATATGAATTTCAGAGGGCGAGATGGAGCATATTTTTTCTTATATATGTTACTGATTTTGACTTTATTCTAACTCATCAGTGCAAGACTTAAATTCTCAGCATAGTTTTTTTTAATACTTTTCTCTTTTGACTAAAATCTTTAACAATAATCTTTGTTTTTATTACTAGGCACTCGATTATAGTCATAGCATGGGCATCATGCATCGTGATGTAAAGGTAAAATACTGTTTTATATATATCAGTAGAAGACTAAAATGAAATGTTTTTAAATTCTTTCAGCCACATAATGTAATGATCGATCATGAAAATCGAAAGGTAAGAAAAGAAAATTTTTTTGCTTTTGGTTAATATTAATTGTTTTGTTTAGTTACGATTAATCGATTGGGGTTTAGCTGAATTTTATCATCCAAATCAAGAATATAATGTTCGAGTTGCATCACGTTATTTTAAAGGACCAGAATTACTTGTTGATTATCAATATTATGATTATTCACTTGATATGTGGAGTTTAGGTTGTATGTTGGCTAGTATGATTTTTCGTAAAGAACCATTTTTTCATGGTCATGACAATTATGATCAAGTATGTTTAAATTTTATTTTTGAAATATATATATATATATGTTTTATTTTAAAAATTAATAAATAGCTCGTACGAATTGCTAAAGTACTTGGTACCGATGAACTTTATGAATATCTTGAAAAATATCAAATTGAACTTGATCCACGTTTCAATGAAATTCTTGGCCGGTAAGAATAAACAAATAACAACATCGTATTTCTATTGTAAAATATATTTATTCAAACAAAATAGACATTCACGGAAACGATGGGAACGATTTGTTCATTCTGAAAATCAACATCTTGTTAGTCAAGAAGCATTAGATTTCTTGGATAAACTTCTACATTATGATCATAATGATCGTTTAACAGCTAAGGAAGCGATGGATCATCCTTATTTTTGTATGTAGTTTTTTTTATATTGTTCTTTGACATTGTCGGAATGTTGTTTTTCTTGTTAGATCCAATTGTACGCGATCAAGGTCGTCCAATGAATGCTACTTCTCAAGTCTTACTTTCGAACAATGGTAAATCATATTTAATTTATTAAATATAGAAAAAAAAAGAATATAACAATATTTTATTTTAGCTGGTGCCTCTATATCTTTGGCTACGTCTCCGTCGCCGCTTAATGTGAACAGTAGCGTGTCGACGAATAATCAGTAAACCAAAGCAAGAATAAAGAAAAAAAAAAAAAAAACATCCACCATCGTGATCATTTTCTATCGAGAGATGAATGTAATCTCTGTGACACTTAAATGCTGCTATAAGACGTTCATTTTCTTTTCATTCTATCGTTATTTGATGGTTACTTTGCTGTCGTTATCGTCTTTCTTCTGTTGTTCTTTTCTTTTTTTTTGCTTTCTTTCTGTTTTCTTTTTTTTTTTTACTTAAACGTTCTTTGTAGCAGTATATGAGTAATTCCAAAGACAACAATCTTAAACATAAAACTTTTTCTATGCATAATGAATGGTGGAAATAAAAGTAAAGCAACCATTAGAAAAGAACATTCTTATTTTCCTGTGTTTCTTTTCTAGGATCATCATTTTTCTCTTGTCATGTGAAAATACAAAACAATAACCTGTTTATCTAGGAGAACTTTTTACATGTTATTATAAATATACATATATATTTTTTGTTTTTTTCTTTGCCTTCTCATCTGTAATACACACGTACAACAAAACATGGTTAGAAAAATTCATATGACAATGAGATAAAAAAAAAATATTCTTTTTTTTTGTGTTTGTTTGTTTGTTTGTTTGTTTATTTCTTTTTCTTTTTCTTTTTCTTCTACTTCTATATCTTTCTTGACTTCTACTTGTTTCTCTAGTTCAAATGATGTTACAGACAGCAGGTTTTTTTTTCTTTCTTCTTTGCATATGCATAACTTACATGAAAAACGAAATAACAGAAAAAAAAACACTATCCAGGAAAGAAACCTTTTTAAAAAAAAATCTCGTGATTGTCTCAATACTTTGTAGATATATATATATATATATATATACATATATTTAGTTAAAAGCAAAAATATGTCGAATGATCATAAACATCATCAGACACCACCAGATTTTGCTGATGATGATACAAAAGATGATGATCAAATGTTTAAATCAGCAACATTACCTGTAACTGATGATATTCCACTAAGTGGAGAAGATGATGATGATGATAGTCCATTTGGTGAACCATCAGTACAAAAAAAAACTCCAACATATGTTAATGAATCATCTACTAATAATGAAACACCATTCCAAGTTCCGCCGGTAACACCTACTGCTGTAATAGAACCGCAAATATCAACAGCAGTGAAGCAAGATAACCAATTATTTTCACGAGATTCAAGTATTAGTTCAACAGAAACAAATACATCGACAACACAACCTGTTCATTCAACAGCATCATTAGAAAGTCAATCTTCAACATCGGCACAAGTGTCAAAATCTATGGCTAGTGGAACTACTGGTATAACAACAAATACAAAACCAACTCAAAAAAGATCTGATGAACATAATATTGAAATTACTGTTAGTGATCCTACAAAAGTCGGAGAAGTATGTAAATAGTTTTTGTTTAATCTAATTTTCAAGCTTTCATCATCATATTTATTTATAAAATATTTTTTTAGGGCATGTCATCATATATGACATATCGTATAACAACAAAAACAACATTAGCAATGTTTAAAAAAAATGAATTTTCCGTTAATCGTCGTTTTAGTGATTTTCTTGGTTTACATAATAAACTTGTTCATAAACATCTTCAATTAGGTGTTATTATACCCTCACCACCAGAAAAAGATACCATAGCTATGGCTAAAGTTAAAATATCTAAAGACGAAACAATACCAATAGATTTTATTGATCGTCGTCGTTCACAATTAGAACGTTATTTAAATCGTTTAGCACGACATGAAAAATTAGTTCAAGATCCAGATTTTCGTGAATTTATTGAAATGCCAAATGAATTACCTAAATCAACCAATACTCAAGCATTAAGTAGTGCTGGTGTTTTACGTGCATTAACAAATTTATCACAACAAGTTACTAAATTAACAACTAAAACAAGTGAACAAGATCAATGGTTTGAAGAAAAACATACATTTATAGTTGATTTACATAATAATTTAAAACATTTATTTAATCATTTTAATACATTATTTAATCAACGTAAAGAATCAGCACAAGCATTAAAAAGTTTATCAACATCATTAAATCATTTAGCAACGATTGAAGAACATACATTATTATCAAGTGCATTAATTGAATTAGCTAATGTTCAAGATAAAATTGAACAAATTAATATTGATCATTCATTAAAAGAATATACAATTATAAGTGAATTAATTAAAGAATATATATCATTATTAGAAATGGTACAATTAGCATTTCAAGAACGTATTAAAATACATCAACAATGGTTAAATGCTGAAGATACGTTAAGAAAAAAACGTGAACATAAAGCTAAATTAGAACAAGCACCAAAAGGTGCTGATAAATTACCACAAACTGAAATGGAAATTAATGAATGGGAAGGAAAAGTAACACATAATAAAGAAGATTTTGAACATATATCAATATCAATTCGACAAGAATTAGATGTTTTTGAACAAACACGTATTGAAGATTTTAAAAAAGCTATTGAGAATTATTTAAAACAATTATTAGAACAACAAGAAAAAATTTTAGAAATTTGGGAAATGTATTTACCGGAAGCAAATAAAATTAATGTATGATTTAAATATTATTAATCTCTCTCTTCTTTTTTCCGAAACGAATATTGTGATTATTGATATTATTATTATGATCTTAATTATTATTATTATTATTTAAGCGTTGCTTCTTATTTTTGTTGGTTTCTCGCATTTTATTTATATAGTTTCGAATCATATCACATACTGATTATTAAAACTCTAATCACACTTCTCTCCTCAAAACTTTGGTTGTTTTTTTTTTCTTCTCTGTTCTTTCTCTTAAAAAAAACAAACAATGCTTGTTAATCTATTCCATGCTTTTATATTTCTATGTGTTGGTATTAAAGAAAAAAAAAACTCTGAATTGATGATCTTAATTTGTAGATGTATTTAATCTGTTATTTGTCATTATTTATTATTTTAATTAAACAAATCTCCTGTCAACAAAGTTCGGTACAAATACAAAAAATTGAAGCTGATCCACCTAATCCAAATGTTGGTGAAAGTTTAAAAATTCGTTGTTTTTTAATTAATGTCGATCCATTTGCACAATATCCAACACAATTATTATGGAGTATAAGACGATTTAGTAAGTATTATATATAAAAACAAACTAATCTATTAAATATAAATATTATTATTGTTATAGGTCAAGATCGTGATTTTCGTATATTAGCATTTGGTGGTTCAGTTCGTGATACATTAAGTGGTCGTGTAAGTGCACGAAAAGAATCTGAAGAAGTTTATGAAATTGTTTTTCGTCCTGTACAAGAATCTGACTCAGGTGTTGTTCGTTGTGAATTAGCAAATACAGAAGCACAAGTACGTCTTGAACGTACAATTAATGTTCTTGTACCACCATCAATATCATATATAACTGCTGATGTTTCTGTACGTGCTGGTGATCCTATTACACTTGAATGTCGTGCACAAGGTAATCCACCACCATTATTAATGTGGATACGACAAGGACAAGAATATCCAACATCATATAGTGGTATATATAGAATTGACAGTGTTAGTAAAGATGATCGTGGTTTATATAAATGTGTTGCTGAACAACAAACAGGAAAAAAATTAACAGCTGAAAATTATGTTAATATATTTGTTGATTTTGATCCAACTGTTATATGTGATCAAATTGTTGTTGAACAAGTACCAAATATAAATGCTGATGCTGAAATAACATGTTCAGGTGAAGCATATCCAATGAATGTCTTAAAATGGGAATTTTCACAAGGTAATACAAATGTTCGTCGTGCTATAACAAGTGGAGAAAAATATCATATTGATACAAATGTTGCAGCAGATTCCATTGATAGTCGTTATGGTAGTGGATTAATTATTAAAAATGTTGAACCAAGCGATTATGGTATATATACATTAATTGTTATGGATGAAAGTAAACGACAAGCTAGTGGTTGGGTTGAATTACGACCTAGTTCTTATATTCGACCATTTAATAAAGCAATCTCCATTTTTCATTTTTATTCGTATTTTTTTATATTTTTATGTCTAATTGTAGATATTCTTTTACAATGATTGTCAATATATGTGTTTTTTTTTGTATATACTAACATGTTTTTTTTTTATATATTCATATAATAGTTTAAATATAGTTGAATACTGATGAGAATTTAAGAAATACTAAACTCTTGAAAATAAGTTAACCTATTATGTGGAAGTCTTGACATTAAATATTTAGTTATTTTTGTGTCACTGAAAGTCGAGTAGTTAGAGCTGAAAGCAGACTTTAGAATATAGGTTCTGAATTTTCTTCTGAAGTAAAATTGTGTAACTATTATTATACTGTTTTAAAAAGTCTAAAATATTGGTTGTACAAAATAGTATTTTGTATTTCGATGGAAATCTATCAAATTCAACAGATTTAAAAACTTTTGCATTTTTAAACGACTAGCAATATTTTGACCAATTTTGATTTCAACAAAAACTAGTTCTTCAGTAGAAAACGTATAGATGAGACTTTGCTTATTGAAACATCTCATTGTGTTACAGAACTCAGTGCTCTACAATAATTTTAAGTTGAAACTATTTCAAAACATTAACTAAGGACTGCCCTAAACCCGTTATTTTACATTGAACAGACACAACTTTGTATTTTTTGATAATATTTACTGACAGTCGTTCAATTTTACTTTCGTAGGGAAATCTAAACATATATTCGAAAACAGAAAAAAAAATTCTGAGTTTAACCAACTATTTCCGGCCAAAAGTGTCAGATGATCATTTGTATTCGAATAATACAAATATTTTAGATATTAAGATTAAAATTAACTTCAATGTTTTGATCTTATTTGGATCAGAATTAATTAATGTCACCCTATTAGCATTAAATTAGCATTATATGAAATTTTTATATATATGCTACCTGTAACTACATTTCTGAGAGTATATGTTCGAAAATTTCCAGTAATAGAACAAACATTCATTTCATCGGAAATGCAATTCCCAAAAAAGAACAAAGGTTTTTATACTCGGAAGCGCTATTCCCAAAATAGAATAAACGCCTTTTTTTTATACTCGGAAATTCCATTCCCAAAGCAGAACAAATCTACTTGGTTTTGAAAATTTCTATGCTTAGAATGTTCGAGATCTAGTCGTTGGTAATCAATGTATTAGTATTTAAAGTAATGTTAATTTAATGCTAAAATTTTACCATTAATTAATTCTCATACGAAATAATACGAAATAATACTAAATCATTCAAATTCATTTGAATACAACACTCCTACTTCCGGTTCTGATCCAATTATCTCTAAATTGCTGACAAATGAATATTTTTTTGTTAAAACTTTCGCTTCATAGATGATATTGAGGTTTGTTACATCGTTGATAAGTATAGGATTCAATGAAAAACAATAGAAATATATATTTTCTCTTAAGTTTTTTTAAAAATTATCGATACAATTTAAGAATAAAAATAATTAGAAAAAATTTAGTCTCGATTATTACAAATATTTCTCTAAAATCAATATCTAAAAACCAAATCTGATCAAAGTGGTCCAAGTGTATAAATATCATTATACCATCCATTATCATGCCATCCACCAAATAACCACATATAACCATTATATAAAACTGCACTATGTCCTTCACGTGGTGCTGGTATATTTGTATTTAATTTTAATTGTTCCCATTTATTTGTTTTAAGATTCAATACAAATAATTCATTACTTCGTTGTATACCAACATAACCTCCAAACATATAAAGATTTTCTCCAGATAAAATACATGTATGACGACCACGTTTAGCTGGTGTAACACGTGAATCATTATTATATTTTAATTCTGTCCATTCTAATGTACGAAAATCAAATGAATGACAATCATTAAATTTTCCACAACCTAAACCACATACAATATAAAGATGATCATTATAGATATGTGCACCACCATATGAACTTCGACGTGGTGGTGGATTTTTTTGATTAACAATAGACCATTGATTTGTTTTAAATGAAAAACGATACATATCATTAAATTTATTATCACCAATACCACCAAATAGATACATTGTATTTTGATAAATAGCAACTGAATGTGCACTACGTGGACGTGGTGGATTTGTACAATGAACTATTTCCCATTCATTACGATCAAATATATATCTATACATATCATTTAATTTACCTGATGAATCCCAACCACCAAATATATACATCATATTATCATAAATAC